TGTAAATTGCTTTGAGGAATAGTTTCAAGGTTTTTCTTATCTGAGTGAAATGTTTGACATTCTGCGCATTTCTGTTAGTATTTCTCTTTATTTGTAGTTTTGCTTAGTTATGACATTCATGGTTGCTTTTTTATGTGTTGCTACTACTGGATAGGTCCTTCTGTCTGCTGGAAATCATGGATTTGATAGGCTTCATGCTGACTTTTTGGAGGTTTGTTGTTGTTTTTGTCAGTGATTGTGTTTTGTAGGTGCTGGGTTGGAATAGTGTTTGAAAGGTTCTTTGATTTATATCATGCACTGAACTCACGGTTGGAACTTGGAAGATATTATGGCATTGTATTTCAGTTTTAGGGATGATTTTCACCTAAAAATGAAAATGCAGTATGTGTATTTTTCAGGAAATGTTTTTCACGTTAATACATAAGCAGATAAATACAGAGTTTAGCAGACCTGTGTCGTGGTGGGGGGGGGAGAAGGGTTAGCCAAAGCAGGAATTTGTAGCATAATAGGATGATGTCCTAAATCAATGGCTTAGTGCTATCCCAGGTTGAATTTCTTTGCTGCAAGTGAAGCGTTAAACTTATTTGATTACTTCTTTGGACAGGTGATGGACTTTATTAATGATGCCATTGTAGCTATGGATGCTTTTGTCACTGCATACAGAACGGCAGCTGTTTTTTTCTCTTGCCCTGTTGAAATGAGGTACATCTTTTATTATGGAACTTCTATTCTATATGAATTATTAAGTACATACTTTCTATTCATGCTATAAGAACCCTGGATGTTCCATGAAGTTTTATGGTTGTGAATAAATAGTTGCACTGGGCTTAACCTAACTGATTGTAGATCATAACTACTTTATGTTATTTTAAACTTTTTCATTTGTTAGTTATGTGGGGATTTTATTTGTGGATGCGTCCCTTCATTCCCTTTTCCTCAAATTATATGGGAAGTTATGCTCTGATACATTTTAATAAAAGATCTCTCTATCTATGCAGTTATGGAAATGAAGAATTGCTCACAACTCTTTCTCATCTGCACGATCATTTTCTTCCATCTTTGCAGCGTGGTTTTCTAAGCAGTTCTAAATCAGGAGAATTCACAAAGCTAACAGATATTGCAATAAGTTTGAAGATGTTATCTTTGAGAATAGTCAAATTTGGTTGGAAACTATTAGATATTTGCTATCTTAGTGATGAAGTGTTTTTGGATGGACATCCTATCCCAACTGCAACAAAGATGTTTCCGGCCATGGTGAAAAGTCCATCTATAAGAGCAGATATTTTGGTTCAAACTCTTAGGGAGATAAATAGAGTTCCACTGCAAAGTCAAGAGAATGAGAAACAAGATACTTTCCTTAAGAATGTTGAAAAGAATTGCAATATAATGAGGAAACTTGAGAATTTGCAGAACACTGGTCAGTGCATTAATTAATCTCTTTACTTAAAGATTGAGATACTGCCTTTATGATCAATTTATATTTCATATTGAATTTGCTTATATATTCTACGATGGGGAATATTGGGGAAGATAGAAGAAGGAACTTAACATAGGCTTCGGTAGCTCTCCACATAAGGCTGCCTCCAACCTTGATGAGACCACTTAATTCTCAGCCTTTAAGGTCTATTTGGTGAATCAAACCACTTATATTTCCTCTATGAATAAGCTAATATTATTAGAGATTTATTTATTTTATTTCTCATTACATACATTGTTTGCTCTAGATGGAGTAGTGTGTATCTATTGTTATTTGATTAGTGGGACAATCATTATCATACATGGTGGAGACTGGTGTATTGCTGTAATATTTGTGGAACTGGGCCTTCTTTTTCAAGTTTAATCATTAAACTTCTGAATTGGAGGATTTCAATAGTTCACCAATCCTTCTTTATTCTTGTTCTTTGATAAATGTATTTGCACTTTCACACAGTAATGTGTATTCGACAACTTATGTGCAGGGTGGATATTCATGGAGGATGAAAAGTTTCAGTATCTAGCTGGGATTACGATGTATTCGACAAAGGGCATTGCTAAAGAGCAAGCCCCTAAACCCCCCATACCGACTTCTTTGACAAACAATAATGCACATATGGATGAAGATGCTGCAATTATGCAATCAAAAATCAGCCAAATTAAAGATCTCTTTCCTGATTATGGCGAAGGGTTTATGGCTGCATGCCTTGAAGTTTATAACCAGAATCCAGAAGAGGTTATTCAGAGGATTCTTGAGGGTACTCTTCATGAAGATCTGCAGGCCTTGGACACTTCCCTGGAGACAATGCCGGTGCCCAAGTCTACTTCAAACCTGAGCAGGAATGATAAAGGGAAAGGGAAACTGGTTGATACCGTTCCTGTATCCTCTACTACAACTGTAGCGGTAGTTAACAGACAACCAGTTGAAGGTCCATCTGTGTCAACAGTTGGGAGGTTTATTAGGAAGTCTAAAGATGACTCGCCTGATTCTGCTGCTCTTGATGCCAGAGACGAGAATGATTCATTAAGAAAAGTTGCTTTGATTTCTCAGTACGAGTATGAAGATGAATATGATGACTCTTTTGATGACCTAGGTCTAAGTGTTGCAGGGTCGGGGCTCGAGGAAAATGAGATGCTAAGTGAAAAACTCAGCTCCAACTTTGGAAAGACCCAACCTGAAAGTTCTGGTCAATCTATGCCTAATTCAAAGTGGGGCTCAAGAAAGAAACCCCAATACTATGTCAAGGATGGTAAGAATTATAGTTATAAGGTTGCAGGTTCAGTTGCAGTTGCAAATGCTGATGAAGCTTCAATAGTAAATCAAGCTCAGGCAGAATTGATACATGGCCTCGGACGTGGTGGCAACATTCCCCTTGGTGCAGTTAAGAAGCTAAAGGAGCACGAGGAGCAAATCAACCAACCTGATGCTTCTGAAATGGGAGGGAGGGAACATACAAGGAACGGTAGGGGTAGAGGAAGAAGGGGTGGAGGAAGACAAAGAGAGTCCCATGCGGAGCAAGATAACCCGCCCGACAACACCGAAGCCGAAGAGAGAGGGAATGTAGGAAATGATAGGGGCAGAGGAAGAAGGGGCGGTGGAAGACATAATAACTACAGGAAGGATAGAGCCATGAGTAAGCACTTCTCTGGTTTGACTGGGTTCTAGACACATGAGAAAATAGATTGCATTTCATACACTTCCCTTGAAATCTATTTCAAGAATGGTAAGTACTTTACTTTTTGAGTTCCATTTTATGCAGGCAGTTGAAATACAAATCTCCTTGTAAGTTGCACCCTTTTTCACTTCGGATAATTTATATATATAATTTACTCATAAACTATATCTACTCATACAATAAACCATTTATTTTAGGTTAAATGTTCAAATACAGGTCCAACCTTTTAGATTCTTCTTTTAAGGGTTTGATCTTTTGAAACAGGTCTAACATTTCTGAATTTGTTCAAATAAGGGTATAACATTTCAAATAATAATTGAAAAAGAAATCGTTGCTGAAAACATTAAGTCTTTATTTGAGCTGATTAAAAAATATTAAGTCCTTATTCGATCCTTTTAAAAGGTTATACCCTTGTTTAAGTGAGCTTTAAAAAGGTTAAGTCTTTATTTGGCTGTTTTAAAAGATTAGATACCGATGCTACAACTCATAAAATCCTAGGGTCTTATTTGGAGATTTAACTTGTATTTTAAAAAGGATTGGAAGAGAAATTTAGAAACATTATTTGAAGTTTGAAGAGTAGTGATAGCTAGGTTATTATTAACTTTTCATTCTATTCTTTTGAGTCTTGTATTCACTGTTCATGGATTGACTAAGATTGGTAAATGCAGTTGTCTCTGAAAATTTTAAATTATCATATAATTTAATATTTTTTTTTATATTTTTATTGGTATTTATTTTCATTCTTAAAATTTTATAAATATACTCTCAAAAATATTCTAAATTGATCTCTCATAACATATCTTTAATTGTATTCAACTTTTATATTTAATTCACATTTGAATGTGGATTTAGATGTGATTTTGTTTCAAAACAAATTAATATACTTAATATCTGGATTGTTAAATTTTACAAATATGTCACAAAATACGAGAAAGAAATACAAATTTACAAGGATGGTTATAGGTCTAGTTGGATCGGGTTGAGTTTTTGGTCGACCGGTTCTAACTCAACATTCAATCCAACTTGAATTTAAGGAGGTAACATTGGATTTAAAACTAACCCAAAATTTGAGGTTAACAATTTGCATTTAATTCGATATGAAACAAATATATAAAAATAATTTCTATTTGAAAAAAATAAGAATCTAATTGAAAAAATAGAGAGACAAATATTATAATAATTATCATTGAATTCGAACTTGACTTGATTCAATTCATTATTTACAAAACTCGACTTGAATAGAATCCCTTTTTTGTTTTGAAAAAATACGATAGTCAGATCCAATCAGAATCCATCAAATTCAGATAAAATGAACATCCCTACAAATATGTCACAAAAAATTATTATTTTAACAAAAGTTATATACATTCCTAAAAAATAAAAATAATTTAAATATGAGTATAATTTAAAACAAGAACAAATATACGAATCGATTCTTGTATTGTTAGAACTTTTCTCTTGTGATTTCAGACATTGTAATCCTACAAGTTGAATTCTTTAAAATCTAAAATAAATAAAAAAATATTAAGATAAATTAAAAAAATACGAGAGAGTTATGATCCAATGATTTTGTGATATTTTCGGATTGTAGTTTCCAGGTTTAACCTAATCCCAGGGGTAAAATTTTATTTTTTTATTTGTAGTTTTTAAAGGTAGAGATTAGATTAAACATTGATTTGTATTATAGTACTATAATATTTAATTGAACATCTATTTGTATAAATAATACTATAATATTTAATTGAACATCTATTTGTATAAATAACCTAACTTCCTCATTCCTAAAGATTCTTTTGGTTACCTGTTGTTCAAGAAATCTCTCTTAGCTTCACTTTCTTCAGAAAGTCGGCCATGGACGAGAAATCTACGACGTTTGCAGTTGAAGGAGAAGGATGCGAAGAAGATGTTCGAAAGTGGTGCTACCATGGAGGTGCAGGTCGACCTAAGAACTCGGGTGAACTTCCATTGAAAGTAAAATCATATATTTCGTCTAAGGGATGGGTTTTCTGGTATGCCATCAGAAACGGGAAAGAAGAACCGAGATATCAATCGCCCCATGGAGAAGTTTACAATTCGTTGAGAATGGCTTGCAAAAGTTATATCGATCAAGGTTCGGCAGAGGGAAGGACGGGAAACGTGGAGCCCAAGCAATCTAAAAAACGAAAGAGTTCGAGTATGGATGATCAGCCAGTACTGGAATCTGTTCAATCTGAATTGCCGAAAAGAGGGAAAACGTTGAAGATACAAGAGGCTCCGGTGGTAAAATATAGTAAACAAGTGCGGAAGGGTCCAGTTTCTAGGCGTAACCCTCGAACTGTTCTGTCTCTGTTGATAGATAATAATGTTGTTCCGATACTGGGAAAGGTGTATTATCGCAGTAAGACAGGGAATCCGCTGATGAAAGGTCGGATCACTCGTGACGGGATTCAATGTGACTGTTGCTCGAAGGTTTTCGCTCTCACCTCCTTTGAAGATCATGCTGGAAGCACCAATCACAGGCCAGCGGCTTACATAATCTTGGACGATGGCACCGGCAGGTCACTTGCTGATTGTCAAAGACAAGTTTGTGATTCAATGAAGAGCACAACAACCACTCCGAGAACTCCTTCTATTGTAGAGAGCCCTAAAACCGTGAAGGTGGCCGACAATTTGTTTCGAGACGAGCATGATGAAGTTTTCTCTGCTTGCTACAATGGAGGAGATTTAATTTGCTGTGATTACTGTCCTTCAACTTTCCATATGAAATGCCTTGGCTTAAAGGAAGTCCCCAATGACCCCTGGTTTTGCCCGTCTTGCTGCTGTGGAATATGCAGCATCGGATATTCAAGGGACAAAATTTTATTTTCTTGTCATCAATGTGAGCTTAAATTCCATGTTGATTGCTTGAAGTTGAAGAAAGCAAGCAGGACGAATACGGAGGAAAACATGGCATTACTATGTAGCCAGAACTGTGAAAAGATCTTTTATGGCCAACAAAAACTTACAGGGAAGCCAATTCCAGTGGGGAACAATCTGTCTTGGACATTGCTGAAATCCGATAATCGAGCTCAAGGGCATGGCATGAAGTCATCTGCAGAGAAAGGGAATCAGAGGAAGTTGAGAGCTGCAGTTGAAGCGATGCATGAGTGTTTTGAGCCAAGCGAAGCTGTTGGGTCGGGGAGAGATTTAGTTGAAGACGTGATATTCAGCCGACCCTCTAAGCTGAAACAACTCAACTTCAGGGGATTCTATACAGTGATTCTGGGGGAAAATGATGATCTGGTTTCAGTGGCCACTCTGAGAGTACACGATAACAAGGTGGCTGAAATGCCCCTTGTTGCCACCAGGTTCAGACACCGCCGCCGCGGAATGTGCCAAGTTTTGATGGATGAACTTGAAAAGAATCTGGTGAAATTAGGGGTGGATATGCTGGTTTTGCCTGCACTGCCTACCACATTCGAGACGTGGACTAATAACTTCGGGTTTTCCCGCATGCCGTATGTTGAAAGAGTAAAGCTTTTTCCGTATGCTATACTAGACTTCCAGGGCACCATAATTTGCCAAAAACTCTTGACATAGAATACAAGCATTACATACTGTTCACTACAATGAATGTAGCACAAGGATTTTTCTCCAATTGTTTAAACAATGGTATTTGTTTTCAAGAGTTGTCCACATTGTGTATGTATGTATGTATGAATCATGTATGTGTATGTATGCATGCATGTATGTTTAAGGTTAACGACCTGCAAGAACTCTCGATCCATGTTTCTGTTAACGATATGGTCTTCATTGTCCGTTATTTGATATTAAATATTCGAGTTCCTTCTCCAAGGTACTGCTTTCAAACAGCCTAAATGCTCTTAACTATCTTTCGAAACATCCATGGAATTGATTTGCATGTGTAAAATACCATTCTGTTAAACACACTTTCATCTTTTACCACTGCCCACCTATGTGTAACACAAAAAAAATATGTTTAATTGCTTCATGCTATTTTCTATCGATATAGATTTAAGTACTATATAATTTATGGGTCGTGTCCTTAATCGATGCACTTCCGAGATTCTCTTAAGGAATGAAAGATAAATTCTTAAAGTTAAAACTGCAACGTAAGACATTTGAAAATACAATATTTCTCGATTATTGGAGATTAAATAATGAACAATCAAGAAATTCAATAACGTTATCAATTTATGTTATTGTGTATTTGGGGTAGACCACCAGAGGGTTAGATAAAGGTTAATGTCGATGGAGTTGTCCCAAGTAGTGATCATGCGACGGCTGCAGAGGGTGTGTTTCGAAACACTCAAAGAGAGTGGCTCTTAGGCTTTTTGAGAAATCTTCCCGATATTAAACGCGGAGCTTTGGATGATACATGACACTTTGGAGCATGCATGGAGGCTTGGTTATCGCAAAGTAGACGTTGGAACTGATAGTTTGGAGGCTGTGTGATAGTTGATTCCCCAAATATTTCATGTAGTGTTCCATTAGCCTGATACTATAAAACTGATGCTGAAGCGAGAATGGGAAATCGTCCTTAGACCAATCTGAAGAGTTACAAATGGCGTGGTTTTACACTTACGTCTTTATCTCATGGAAAGTGCATTAGAAAGATCTAGTTTAAAGAGCCCCCATTAGAGATCGTAAATCTTATCGACCAGGAGGCTATGTCAAACTCCTAAAGCTAGCAAATATATATTGTTGTCACTAGTCTCATGATTCAAGGGGGCCAGCAAGTTCCATCAACTGATTTTATTAAATTACCTACATCATTCGCATATCTTTATTAATTAGCAACTCATGATTAAATACAATTTCAAACATATACACATTAGTTTTCTTTTGGTAAAAAAATGAAATAAACAATTTACGTTCTCTGTCACTCCCCTAGCGTCGCTGTTAAGTGGTAATTTCTCCTCTTGTTCGTAATACATATCTTTTATCATATATGTATCTTTCATTTTATATTTATATCTTCTTCATGTTTTGGACGGGATTCTCGCCTCCTCATTATGTCTCCACAAATCTTCTACTACACACAACAATAATCTCATGCTATTGAAAAACTTGGAATTTCCAAAGATTCCGGCAAACCACCGAAAACAATGTATCCCATTCACTACACGCATATGGCATAGTTACTAGTATTGTGTTGTGGAGGTTCTCCCATATTCATTGATTGAATACGGAAAGCTTATTGTGGCAGATCAAACGTTGAACGAGCTTTGTTGCAATGACGAAGAACATGATCGATAGTTTCAGTACTGGTGTTACAAATGCTACAATTTCTTTCCAAGTCATGTGCCGACGGACGCGTTCGGAGTTTGTTAACAATCCATCCCAACGTGTCTGCATCTAGGATAGGTTGTGTGGGGTTCGTCACAGCTATTAAGATTTCCTCAGGGGAGCATTCCACTAAAGTTATCCCAATTCCAGTGGCCGGAACTAGTAACCATCCAAGCAACGGACGTTGGAGGCGGAACAACGTGGTGGAGGCTTTTGTTGGCTAGAGGTCCCTGAATCATGAGTAGATGGAAGTTGCTGCACCCCCCCCCCCCGGGGGGCGAATCATGAGACTATTGATAACAATACTCCTTATGTATAATTGAGTAGATTTGTTTTATGTAAGTTTTTTTTAATTTATAAATAGATATAATGGATGGATTGAGATTTAAATATAAGTTGATTAAACTTATCTTTGTTTTTTTCTATATTCATTTCAAAACAATAACAACAGCAGCAAAAAAATAATAATAATAAAGAGAATAATATATATATATATATATATTACTTGGTTTTACATCCCAAAATATTTACATAAAATCAGTAAGAATCAAAAGCAACGCTAGTCCTTTTGGTGACAGCGTAGGTTTTACTTCTTGTAAACAATGAATCTTGTTTCTTATTATTATTATCAACACGATCAACTTCATTCTTTTCTTGGAATTCAAAAGGCTTGTCTTCATCGATTCTTCCCATCCCAACACTGGAACTCTTGGGCAACCTTTTCGCTGCTCTCATCTGCTTCAGTTGTTCTTGCAAGAACATCTCCACTTCGTTCTTATGACCCAAGCTCCTAACCGATGCAGCCCTGATGAGATCTCTAAGATCTTCGTCGTCACGGCTAGATGCCGCCGAACTTGCACTGAAGCTCCTCGGCAAGCCCGGGTATTGCCCCGCGTAATCACCGCCGCCTTGCCCGAAGCTGACGCTTGCAGCGCAACTCGTCAAGCTCTTCACGTAAAGATCCCTTGCTTTGCCTAGGGCTCTAAAGGGAATCGTGATGAACCTCAGGAACTTGTTCTGTATATGCCCTTTGCTGCTCATTCTCGCTACTGATTAAGGAGATAATTTCAATGATTGAAGTGTGGGTTTTGGTTGAAAAACAAAGAATTATTATGGAGGAGAGAGAGTTAGGCATGGGAAGGTAGAGTATGAAGGTGTTTGGTGCACGTGGAAGGGTTTTATAAGGTAGTTGAGGCGAAACTGGCCGCTGCTTTGTTGGATTTTGACTATTTCACAAGTTCGCAGATTAGACAAAACCATCAGATAAGAACCAGTTTATGCGGAGTGTGTCATTAAGTTTTATATATATAAAATTCAATACGATGATCATTTAGGTCTAATTACAAATTTCATCCATTTACTTTACAAAAAGTAGAGAATACAAAAATAACTTAATCCCATTTATTAATACTATTTAGTCTTGTTATTAAATATTTATTAATACTATTTGTTGATTAAAATAAACTGAATTTTTCAGTCATTGATAGTTCATTCCTTCTAGTTTATACAATAAATCATAACAGAGAAACAAGTAATTAATAATCGATGATTTTCCTATACAAGAGTTGGAATTTATTAAGGAGATGAAAAGAATGAGAGGAAAAGAAGCTTCTCTCCTTTATTATAGTTGAAAGAGATTTATAATGGTTCTTGTTTTATGAAAAATAGGTATAAGGTCATAATGGTTATTCGTAATTTCCCACCAATGGGTAGGTTGGGTCTGTCAACTGTCTTGTATAAAGGCCTTATTCGTACATTGTAGTTGAATTAAAGGGTTCTTGAAAATGTTGGTGAGATGAGATTTCTATATGGAGATCCTAAGAACAGAGGACTATGCGACCTCCGAAAGAAGAAGAAGAAGAGTGTCTTTGGTTCACGGAATGTAAGATTATCAGTGGGAATAAAAGATTACCAGAGAATATGATTACTGAGAATGTTGTATTTTATGTTTAGTTGGTTTAGCAGGAATGTAAGATTACCGTGTTTGGTTAAAGGAATAAAAGATTATTGGAATGTATATTTAACAAAATTGTTCTTATTATATATTTATTTTTAACAAGTTGGAAAATATTTATATATTTTCTTTAAAAATTTTAAATTCATAAAATTTATATAATTTTTTACAAAATTGAAAATATAAAAAAGTTTAATGAAAAGGTAAAATTTTATTTTAACCCCTGAACTTTATATAAAATTTTAATTATATACTTTTTTTTGTAAATCTAAAATAATTTAAGGATAAATTTGTAATTTAAGCTTCGTAGAATTTTTATTATTCAATGACAGAAGAATGATATTTGTGAGAAAAAATTAAGGGTATTTTAGTCCAAAACGCCGGTAATCCAACAATACCTAAGGAAAGGGAGATAATGACATTCCCGGTAATATATCCCAAAAAATCCACTATTGGTAATAAAACATTACCGAGAAAGAGATTCTCAACCAACCAAACAGGGAAATGTAGATTTCATTCCCATGAGAATCCCACATTCCCCGAACCAAACAGCCGCTTATGGGCTTAAGCTCATGTGAATTATTTTTAAATTTTTTTAATTGTTACGTAATACTTCCGTTAAAGGTTAACGGCTGAGGACTAAAACGGATCGATAACATTAGGTACTATTTCTCCTTAATTTTTTTAACCAAAATCAATCAGACTGAAAACATGAGGGATTGTCAGCATAGTTTACCCTATTTATTAATACTATTAAATATTGTTGTTTATTGTTTATTAATATTATTAAGTCTTGTTGTTATTTGTTGACCTAAAAAACTGCATATGATAAGAACTGGCAAACCAAAAATCATTAATTCAAACCATCCACGGCGCCCTACTACCTTATCCTTTCCCAATTCCCATCTCTTCGCCTAATTTTCAAACCGGCTTTACATGCCCTCTTTATTGGATTTCTTAGGTTCATAAACCTTTCTACTCATAAATTTAAAAATAAAAAATCACAGAAATAAACTTAAATTATAAATACTTATAAAAGGGGAAAGTTAAAACCTAATTTTAGTACAATATTAATTTCTAACTTTATTATGTTTTAGAATCATTTCATCATTTTTGGAGGCTAAAAGGTTAAATTAATTTAATATGTTATGAAAACAATAATATTAATTAAGGTAAGATTCAACCATTTTTAACTTTAGAGATTAGTTAGCGTAATTCATCTGTTCACAGATTTCAACTCAAAAATTTAGTGATAAAAATAAAATATGTATAATTCAATGACCAAAACAAGACAGTGTCTAAAGTTCAATGCTAATAGTGTAGTTTATTCATTTATTATTGTTTATCTTTGTTGGGTAAAGTAACAATTCTTAAAATGTTTCTTATTGTTTGGATTTTGTAATATTTAGGAAACTTTATCTAAATTTCACATGATATATTTTTGTAAAATACTCAATTTTTTTAAACTCTAAATTGTTTTTTAATTCCTAAATATTTAAGTAATTAAATAAAAGAGAATTTATTATGTATTTGTTTAATCTCTCACAACCTTTGAAGTATGTGTTACTTGATAATGACGATATTTGACTGTCATTACAGTAAACCCTGAAGAGAGGGACGTTAATTTAGAAAATCAAACTTAAAACACCCAAATATATAGTAAATATGAACACCATTTACGCCGCAGCTTCATTTTCAACGCATGTTAAGCTCGGTGTTTAAACTTATATATTTGGGTTTTTTTACAAAATTAAAAGTCAATAATCATTAAAATATTAATTGTTCATTATCACTTGAATTCCACGTTTCAACTCTAAAATTATTTGAATTTCATATATTTAAATATCACATCGTATTTAAACGAAAATATAATTAATATATTTTTTTTGAAAGGATAATTATTATATTATTAATTATATCATGATGGAAAATTTTAATTATTTAGGCAGATTTACTGAGCATAATGTAATTACATTCTAATTCATGATATATTTGATTCTATCAAGTGGTCTTATTAGTTAAAGGAAGTACTGTTTTCCTTAGAAGTTTTAAGTTCGAGCAGTTGTGTCTGCAGGGTGTGTGTACGTAATAAATGATTAAAAAAATTATGAATTGATACTATACCTTGTAATCCCCCTAGATTATTCAAAAAATAATTATGATATATTTCATTGTACAAATTATAATTATAGAAGTATATAAATTCAAATTCCAAAAAATATTAATTATTATAAAAATAATCTTAGGTTCTAAACATATCATGTAAAAAATTTCTCATTCAATATTAAAACTAATAATAATAATAATATTAATTTATAACAAATTTATTTTTATTAGTGATTTTATTTTGAATATTCACTTAAGGTGAGAACAAAATAATAATAATAATAATTTTACACATAATAATACTATTATCAATAATAAAATTCTAACGTGAGAATTAATAATAATATTTATAAATTGTGAATAGTGTAATTACACTAATTTCCACATTTCTTCCTAGGAATCGAAGAGTGTGAGTTCAACAACATCTGCAAATTATGATATCAAACACATCACAATCATATAATTATATTCATATTCAATTACAAGGTGACTTTTTAAATATACATTTATAAAGTTATCAAGAGGTTTTGAGTTCAAATAGCGACGACGTCTGTAGAGGCGTATGTTGTCAATAGATTAAGATAATTTTGAACATATATTACCTTATAATCATTTTAGATTATTCAAAAAATTAGAAATATAATTACGACACCATAAAAAATTTATTTGAAGTATAAATTGAAATAATTTTTTGTTTTTTAAATGAAATGGTCAAAAATATTCATTTGACCCTTATCTCATTAAATAAAGAAACGAAAAAGAGTTTGAAAATTGAAAATTTCATGAAAAACCCACTATAAATAATGAATTAAACTACTTAGAACAGTGGCATGTATGTACGACCAGACTATTTTTCGTGGACAATCAAACAACCAATGTCATGTACAAATATTTTTCAATACCAAAGGAAAGTCCACGCATACTTATCATATAAAAGAAAGGCAATTTTAAAGTAATTTTTTGACTAATACTTGCAATAAGAGAGGAATAGAATTGTCAAAATATTAACATTATCCCCCAAAAGTTTAATTGAATTTGAAGGTAAATGTTCAACTCTTTTGCATTTATATTCCTCAATAATTAAATTTTACGATATGGTTTTTTGATTTTAAACAAGTGTATAATATACATATCTATTAGGTATAGTTATATCTCACATCTGACTATTTTTATATAACTATATTATCATTCTATTATATTCATGTTCGAATATATATTCGATATAAATTTCAAATACGAAAACGATAAATAAAAATTAATTGAGTAACATAATACACAAATATCATCTTTAGTTCCCAATATAAGCTTACCGCTCACAAGGAGAGTTCAAAGTAGTAAACTATATAAATAATGTCAATCTTAATTATATGCGACTCTTAAAATATTTTTGTTATAAATTCTAAATTTAATCTTAATTCTACTTATAGGGAAATGATAGAGGAACTCCAGGAAGAAAGAAGAATATTCTTAATGGGTCTGGACAGTAGCGGTTCTAAAGCTTACCCATGGTGGGCGTGTATGTGTTCACTCTGAAATCGAACTTATATTGTTAACATACTTGTGCCACCCTCAAAATTATTTCAGGATCCGTCATTGGGTCTAGAACTTATAACCTAAATAAATATGAAAAAAATAAAGATTAGTAATTTGACCAACCAACCAAATATAGTTGCTCAAAATATTTGTGTTTATTTAAATCATAATATTTTAACTTTTTAAAATAAATCCTTTTAAATGGTTAACAAAGGATCAATATTTTGTATTAACATGACATGTGACATGATAATTTAAGGGCTTAACTGGAAAAATATTAAACATTGAGGTCTTTTTCAATAAGTGGTTATTATTTGTTGATATGCCAATATTTTTATCAACATGATATGACAATTTTATTTTAAACGTGTGAGTTTATTTTATAGTATTACTTTTTTATATAAAGTAATATTACTTGAATGATTATAAAATATAAAAATTAAACTAAAAGTAGCGTGAGATTATAAATAAGAAAATTATTAATCATATTACATTGGGAGTTGAATAGATGATTACCATAATCGTCTTTTGGGTGAAGC